AATGAAATCAAGAATAGTTGAATCACCAATGAAATCAAGATTTGTTGAATCACCAATGGAATCAAGATGCAGCTATGAATCAGAATCACCAATGGAGTCAAGTTGGAGCTCTGAAGAGAACAAGGCCTTTGAGAGAGCTTTGGTGGCGGTTCTCGACGAAACCGATTTGCCTGAGCGATGGAAGAAGGTAGCAGTCATGGTTGGAGGAAAAAAGAGCCCTGAGGAGATCAAAAAACATTATGATGCACTTGTTCAGGACATACAGTCGATCGATTCTGATAAGGTTCCCATACCCAGCTATAGAACTCCTCATAACTACAAAATTCCTCATACTTATTCTGCTTGGGCCTCCGAATCTGAATATAAAATTCCTCATACTTCTGCTTGGGCCTCCGAATCTGAAGAACAATATAAAATTCCTCATACTTGTTCTGCTTGGGCCTCCGAAGCGTTCGAATCTGAAGAACAGAGGTATGCTCTTTTTTTGTTTTCTCGTAAAAAGTATTCAATAACATGCTCATAACCACCTTATTTTATTAAAAGTAAATTGTCGCTTTGAATGCTTTCCCTCTCGGTCTCTCTGTCCTTGCATTGAACGATAGCAAATCATATTTTAAGCATTTTGCAGAAGAATTTATGATATAATACGCACACTTTCTCTGATTAATGAGAATTTGGCAGAGTAGTTTCCCTCTGTGGAGTTTTGTTCATTTGTTATTTGTTCTGTTGGGGTGTATGCTTCTTTGCTGCTTGTATGATTTAAGGCCAGAACAGTGTGGTCGTGCATTTGACTTTTTCATCCGACCCTATCTCTTGTGATAGAATTTGTTGGCCCACTTCAAATTTGCAGCATAAATCTAACCAAGGATTAGAATGAATATCTATACATAGAGAGCATTTACTTTTTTTAGTACGGACTGTTAATGAACCGGTCCGCGATCCGGGCTTGCATCACTGGCCTGGTTATGGGCCTCTAACGGGCTTGGTTACAGGCCTCTACCAGGTGAGCTGATGTGAACATGCTGCTTAATCAGGCCAGTCCTTTAATGGGCTGGCCTGGAAACACCCGGCCCAAAAATGCCTCGACTGGCCCAATAAAGCCGGGCAGGACCAATAAGGCCCGGCTAGGGCAATATACCTTGAGATGATCGATTTGATGGGTTTTGAACAAAGAAACTACTTCTAGTGAATTTGAATTTTTTGCGCCTTAATTTGATTGTTTAGGGCTTTGCCCATATGAAGTGGCCTGCACAACTTTGAAATTGCATTCCCCCTTTTCACTCTCTATCGTGAAAACTCCTTTAGACGCAAAAAAAAGAATTGAGGGGGGTTAAAAACATTGAAAAGAATTTGGATTTTGAGCAAGAATGTTAGGTTCAGATATGGAAGGTCGTGGTGAATTTTAACATTCACTGGTTTTCATGAGATGAAGCATTTTTCTTAAAGTCAAAATTTCAAAGCATGTAAAGTTATTTATAATTTCTTTTTTAACAACATTATATACGAAAGGAACTTGAGTATAAAAACCCAACTGCTACCCTTTTGATCCAAGCTCAATTCCTATATTTCTATGCTTTTGTTCGTTTTTTTTTCCTTTTTGTTCCTTTTTTTGTAGTTCTTCGTATAATATTATGAAGATTGACGACTTTTTTGCTTCTTCATTAATAACTGAATAAGCTAGGGTTGTTTCTTCTCGAGTTTAAATGTCCATAGATTTAAGAGTTCTAACTGATTTTACAATTTCATTTATGCAGGCTTAGACACTTGAATATAGAGTGACAGATATCTTTAATCTATTGCCAAGAGAGATGATCTCCAAACTGCCATGGCCAACTTGAAATTTTGTTCGATTCGCATAATTCATTTTGATGTAAAATTGGCAGTTTCATATTTTAATAAGTAGAGTTCACCTTTTCTTTTCCTATTCTTTTTTTTTATTTAGAAAAAGAAAGACCAAGTTATAATATGGGCCCAGTTGGATAGGAAGAAATTAGAAATCTTGGATATTTGGAATTCAATAAAATCTATGGAATATAATTGGATATACAATTAACAATTCATTGATTACCATCATTTCCATGTCAATTGTTCGGTAACAAAATTTGATACAATTTCTCTATAGAATTTTAATATATTTTCTCTCTAAAACTCAAAATTTGTGATTCTCTCCCTCTCTCAAAATTTTGGGATAGTTTCTCTTCAAATTTTTAATATACTTTCTCTCCAAAACTTAAAATTTGAAATTGTTTCTCCGAAAATTTTGTGATAGTTTTTCTCTCTAAAAATTTGAGGTACTTTTTCTTTCTAAAATTTAATATAGTTTCTCTTTCTAAAATTTTAAGATGCTTTCTCTCTCTAAAACTTAAAAGTTGAGATAATTTTTTTCTCTAATAATTTTAAGATAGTTTCTCTCTTTAAAATTGTTAGGTAGTTTCTCTCTCTAAAATGTTATATAGTTTCTCTCTCTAAAATTTTAAGATACTTTCTCCCTCTATTATTTAAATTTGAGATAATTTCTCTCAAAAATATTTGGGAAAGTTTTTCTCTGTCAAAGTTTTTAGGTACTTTTTCTCTAAAATTGGATATAGTTACTCTCTCTAAAGGTTTAAGATGTTTTTTCTATCTAAAATTAAAATTTATGATCGATTTTCTCTTTAAAATTTGATATAATTTATCTCTCTAAAATTTTAATATATTTTCTCTATCTAAAACCTAAAATTTGACATAGTTTATCTCTCTAAAAGTTTTGAATTTGAGATAGTTTCTCTCCCTGTAATAATTTTAGGTACTTTCTCGATCTAAAATTTTAAGATACTTTCTTACTGCAAAATATAAAATTTGAGCTAGTTTCTCTATCTAAAAATTTTGAGATAGTTTCTATTTATAAATTTATAGATAGTTTCTCTCTAAAATTTAATATAATTTCTATCTCTAAAATTTTAATACACTTCCTCTCTCTAAACCTAAGATTTGAGATAGTTTATTATCTACAGAATTTGAGATATCACTCTCTAAATTTTGTTTGGCAGTTTCTGTTTCTAAGATTTAATATAGTTTATCTCGCTAAAATTCTAAGAATATTTTCTCTCACTAAAACTTAAGATTTGAGATAGTTTCTCTCTTCAAAATTTTTGAGATAGTTTCTATCTCAAAGTTTTTAGGTACTTTCTCTAAAATTTATTATAATTTCTCTCTAAAAATTTTAGGTACTTTCTCTCTATAATTTGATATAATTTATCTCTCTAAAACTTAAAATTTGAGATAAGTTCTCTCTTTAAAAACTTTGAGAGAGTTTTTCTCTCTCTAAATCTTGATATAATTTTTAGATCTAAAATTTTAATATACTTTCTCTTTGTAAAACTTATAAAGTGTGCGGTTTTTATAGAGCTGAGGCTCTAAATAATCAAAGTAAACACCACTACAAATAGTGTCGAGAATGTGGTTTCAATACTCGAAATCTTTGTGATAGCCTTAAAATATATTTTCATCTTTAATTATAAAATTTAAAACTTAAAAATAGTGTAGATCGAGCAGATCTATGAAAACTTGAAAATCTTGAAAATTGATGGCCTTGAAACATATTTTCATTTTTAATTATAAAATTTAAAACTTAAAAAATCGTGTAGATCGAACAGATCTATAAAAACTTGAAAATCTTGAAAATTGATGGTAAAAAAATATATTACAAGATGCACTATTTTCAAAACTTGAAATTCGTCTCTTTCTTTCTCATGTTTGTGCATCTTGATGTCGAGATGATCAATTTGAGGATATTTGAACATCAAAACGACCTCATCTAGTGGAACTTTTGAGGTGGATTGTTTAGAGCCGCGGCTCTATATAAACTTTTTGCAAAAGTTTCTCCCTCTTAAAAAGTTGAGATAGTTTCTATCTTTCCAAGTACTTTCCCTAAAATTTGTTATAGTTTCTATCTCTAAAATTTTAATATGTTTTCTCTCTCTAAAACTTAAATTTTGAGATAGTTACTCCTTCTAAAAAAAAATTGAGATAGTTTCTATCTTTTGAAGTACTTTCTCTAAAATTTGATATAGTTGCTCCCTTTAAAATTTAAGACGCCTTCTATCTAAAACTTTAAATATGAGATGGTTTTTCTCTGTAAGAAATTTTATGTACTCTCTCTAAAATTTGATATAGTTATCTCTCTAAAATTTTAATATACTTACTCTCTTCATAACATAAACTTTGTGATAGTAGCCCTGTTGCTTTCCTCTTCGATGAACTTTGAAGCCTTCAAAGATCAATTCATCTCTCTCTACAGTTCCTCCAATCTCGCCTTCACTGCTCCCTCTGCATCTCAGAGGCTCGCAATCATTTTCCTTTGGCCTTTGTTCTCAGATTCTAGGGTTTCGATCTTACTGAGCAAATCATATACCTGTTCTCTAAGCCTTTTTGTGGATTCACCGTTTTCAACTAGTTTTGTTGTTACTTTTATCTTCCTTGTATGCTTGTTGATCATTTTTTGTAACCGCTCCATTAACTTGAACCTCGTCTGCCATATCACCCCAACAGAACAATAATGGATATGGATATTCGTTACCCTCTTCTTTCTATGAAAGTTCAAACATTGTTGACTATAAAAAAATTAGGGTTCATCTTGCCTCTCCCTTCATTTCATCTCCCTCTAAACCCACAATTCCAGGGTTTGTTTCTTTTAAAAACAATTTATCGAGAAAATAGAGTTGCAGTTTTTGTGGGTCTTCGTATTATTTGTGACATAGGCTTGTAAAGTGGTTAACAAGCTCCTTTTCTTAGAAATCTCTCTCTCTTCTTATTCTTTTCTTTTATTTTTTTATTTTTTTAAAAGGAAAATATATCTATATCTCCATTTTTAAGTTTTATATCTCGATAGACTCAAGGTTTCAAAACATATATTGGATTATAAAAATTCTAAGTTTTATATCTTTTAACCTCTTAAGCTAACTTTATCCCCTTTAAACTTATTTTTTTGCCCCAAATAAATATAAGAAAGACATATCTTTTTTAAAGACCATCATTTCTCTCTTCATGTGATTTCCCCTAAATCTGTCTTTCTATCTATTTTCCCACTCTCTCTCCCCTATATATATATCTCTCTCTCCCCATTAGAAAGACAAAGATAGAGAAATTTTGGGAGAATATATCTCTTTAACAGAGGAAAGATTTAGAATAAACATGTCTTTTGTATATTTATTATGGCTAAAAACTAGTTAAAAGTGTGTAAAGTTAGTCAGGGGGATATGAGATATATTTTGAATCTTTGGGTCTATTGAGATTTGAAAACCAAAAATAAGGGGTACTAATATATTTCCACCATTTTAAATGGTTGGATTCTTGTTTTTTAGTGAATAGCCTTCTCCTATATATTTGTTTATTTTGTTTACTATTATATGCACTTATGAGAAACCCATTTATTTGTTCTTTGGGATTATGATGCATTTTTCTCTAGCTTCTATTCCCTTACGACCCCATTAAAATCAGTTTTGTATGGAAGTAAATTGGGATATAGATTCAGATTCGGATCTTATACTCAGATTCAGATCCGGATCTGAACCCGATCCGGAATATTCTCAACCCTAGAAAGAGTGGCTTTGATTAGAGTTATTTGGCCAGGATAGGTTTTTCATTTTATTTTTATTTTTTTATTCTTCGCACTTGGCCTAGGGATGAGAGCCGGGCCAGGGATGACTTGGCCCGTGCCAGACTATAATGTCTTAGGCTATGGTTAATTTAAACTATAGTCTCTTTGCCTTTGCTTACTTTAGCACGTTTGGTTGGTGTGAAAATAATTTTTGAAAAATATATTCATATAAAAAATTCCTTCATATGGTTAATTGTAGGAGTATTTTTAGATCCCAATGCATCTTTTCACACAATTGGCATCTAAGTTGTGTGAAAATATTCCCGTACCTAACCACACTTGAAAAAAAATTTCAAGTAGAAAACAGTTTTTAAAAAATACTTTCACACAAACCAACCGTTCCTTATATATATATATATATATATATATATATTTGCAGGGAGGGCAACACTGATCATTTTGATCCACCAGCTTTATCTTTTCTACTAACCTTGTTTTATGCAAATATGAATGAGAATAATAATACTTCCACTCTTGAACAAAGGGGAAAAGCCCTTATGGAAACCTCACTGGATATCATTCCAGTAAATATTACCCAGTCACCAATAAGAATGGAACCTGCTTTATCACTTAGTAATAGTCTTATTTTCTATTCCTCAAATATCAATTATCCAGCTTATTCAAGCCAACCTTTAGCTTCTCCTCCAGCTCCAGTTTTCCAAACCTCTACACCAAAGAAACCAACTTTACCCAGCAAATCTCTATATTTTGAAACCTATTTTGTTGCTGATGCAATCATAGAATCCAGACATGTACATGACAACCCAAATAATGTTGCTAAGTATTACTTATGTAATAATCTTTGTCCATCTGTAGGTACCAAAACAAGAGAATGGTACGAAATGATTCTGCTAGAAACTCTAGATGTTTCTATTCATGTATTATTAATTGTAACCCAAATACTTCCTGAACCTCTGCAACTTTTTCAAAACCGTTTTATTAAATTCAATGGGAGTGATCCCAATATATATATATATATATATATATAGTCTCTATGGCTATGCTTAACTTTAATTTTGAAATACTTTGCAGCCTATTTGGGTAAGCTTCTTTATTTATGATTTTTATACTTGAGAAAGCTTGGGTTATCATATTGGTTTCTCTCTCCTCTCTTGTCTCTTTATAAATATGCTCATTTGGGGAGTTTCATTTTTCATCTGTCTCTCTCCAAAGGTAAATTAAAAAAGTTGTTCGTGGTTTTTGGTTTTTGAGATTGAGATTTGAGTGGGGGATTGGGTTGAGACTGCAGCATGCCTATATTTGAAGGACCAATGGAATCAAGAATATTTGAATCACCAATGGAATCAAGAATTTCTGAATCACCAATGAAATCAAGAATAGTTGAATCACCAATGAAATCAAGATGCAGCTATGAATCAGAATCACCAATGGAGTCAAGTTGGAGCTCTGAAGAGAACAAGGCCTTTGAGAGCGCTTTGGTGGCGGTTCTCGACGAAACCGATTTGCCTGAGCGATGGAAGAAGGTAGCAGTCATGGTTGGAGGAAAAAAGAGCCCTGAGGAGATGAAAAAACATTATGATGCACTTGTTCAGGACATACAGTCGATCGATTCTGATAAGGTTCCCATATCCAGCTATAGAACTCCTCATAACTACAAAATTCCTCATACTTATTCTGCTTGGGCCTCCGAATCTGAATATAAAATTCCTCATACTTGTTCTGCTTGGACCTCCGAATCTGAAGAACAATATAAAATTCCTCATACTTGTTCTGCTTTGGCCTCCGAAGCGTTCGAATCTGAAGAACAGAGGTATGCTCTTTTTTTGTTTTCTCGTAAAAAGTATTCAATAACATGCTCATAACCACCTTATTTTATTAAAAGTAAATTGTCGCTTTGAATGCTTTCCCTCTCAGTCTCTCTGTCCTTGCATTGAACGATAGCAAATCATATTTTAAGCATTGTGCAGAAGAATTTATGATATAATACGCACACTTTCTCTGATTAATGAGAATTTGGCAGAGTAGTTTCCCTCTGTGGAGTTTTGTTCATTTGTTATTTGTTCTGTTGGGGTGTATGCTTCTTTGCTGCTTGTATGGTTCGAGGCCAGAACAGTGTGGTCGTGCATTTGACTTTTTCATCCGACCCTATCTCTTGTGATAGAATTTGTTGGCCCACTTCAAATTTGCAGCATAAATCTAACCAAGGATTAGAATGAATATCTATACATACAGAGCATTTACTTTTTTTTAGTACGGACTGTTAATGAACCGGGCCGCGACCCGGGCTTGCATGCCTGGCCGGGTTATGGGGCTCTAATGGGCTTGGTTACGGGCCTCTACCAGGTGAGCTGATGTGAACATGCTGCTTATCAGGCCAGTCTTTTAACGGGCCAGCCTGGAAACACCCCGCCCAAAAATGCCTCCGCTGGCCCAATAAAGCCGGGCCGGTCCAATAAGGCCCGGCTAGTGCCATATACCTTATTTTTTTATTAAAAATCTTCACTCTTCAAGATAAGATTTTATATATGTAGTAAGCCAAAAAAAACAAATTTGCAAGGGCACACCTCAAAAGCATGATTGTCACCTTTTTGTAATAATTGTAAGAGTTAATTATTTCACAATTATTAAAATATTTATAATTTCCCTTTCTAGTTTCCATCAAATCGTGAATTATTACATTTTTCTAATTTTGGTCAAATAAAGGAGACTTTTCAATTTATATTAACAATGATTCCCCATGGTATCTGACAAAAAACTGGCATGCAAGTATCAAAATATTTGAATTTTTATGTAATTCAAAATATGAATATATTTTCAATAAACAAATTTGAAAAGAATGTAAATGAATAGATGATTTATTTGAAAGATTAATGTTAGATACTTTTAGAAAATTGGGATAAAATAAAAAAAAAAGTTCATAAAGCCTCAAAAGTAAATAAAGCAAAACAACATCTTTTTTTTTGGAGGGAATAAACTATGTAGAGGAAAGGAAAAGTTGATTGAAAAGCAACTGTAGGGAAAATTGGGAAATGGAAAAAAGAAAAAGAAAAACAATTAATGAAGAACTTTAGGCAATCAAAACAAGAAAGGAGAGTTCCTACATCATTAATAGAAGGGATTCATACTTAAAGCTAATATGGGTTGGCATTATTTGATCAAAATATTTGAAATTATATTTAAAAAATCTTAAAACTAGATATAAATGATTTTGAGAAAAGAAGAACAATAAAAAGTATAAAGATAGTTAACAATTTCAAAGTAAAGAAGTAAATATAATTTTTTATCAACCAAGTTGACGAAGTGTCAGCCATAGTTTAAAAGCATTTAAAATTTATGAAAAATTCAAAAAATATTAAAATATTCAAATAATTTAAGAATTAAAATTAAAAGACTTTAAACACTCAAAATCTCTTTTAGAGCATGAAAATGTGTACCCAGATGAATAAATTTATTTGGCAAAAGATGAAGAAATCCATGAAACTATCTAATGGGAAGACTCTATGAAGCTATCCAATGGATATTGGCATATGAACAAGTGGAATCAGAGCACAACAAGTAGTTTCAGACCCCTGGTTTAGGGTTGTTGGTAAAGCAATAAAATTTTTGAATGCAAAGTTTGAGGTCGAGAAATTTGATGACAAATACTATTTTTCAGCAAAAATGATGAATAATTTTATTGGGCAAAAGATGAAGAATTCATAAAGGTATCCAATGGATATTGACATGTGAATAAGTGGTATCAGAACACAACAAGTAGTATCATCACAATTAAAAGTTCCATGTAATATAAAGTTGACTTTCAATTGTTCTATGTAAAAACGAAATAATTAATTTCAAGAATTTAAAATTTTGTTACAAAAATCACATAATTTTGGAAGCATAAAAACTGCATGTCTATAAATAAAATTAGAAAAAAAATATAAAACTCATAAATTAATTTTAATGTAAAAAAACTTGTACTTAAAATTTTTAAATTTGTGGGGTCTAGGATTTGGTAGGCATGATGTATTCTTGCGCTAGGACTAGGGTAGCCCGAACCTGGCCCAAAATTTTTCGTAAGCTTTTAAAATAAATTTTAATCGACATTTATAGGAGGCCCAAATCGGCCCGGCCCGATTATTTAGTTCAAGCCTCATATGTAAGATTTTTGTCCGGCCCAAAATTTTACTTTTGGGCTTAGGCAAGGCCCCCTATCTTACATGCTTAATATGTTTGAGCCTTGGGCCAGGCCGGGCCTACTTACATGTTTTCTGAATATGGGTTGAGATGAGTCAAGGAAGGTGGTGTGTAGAAAAGAGTTGGCATAGAGATTATAGGAGGTTATTTTAAAGTAGAATGAATATAGGGTGCTTGGATAGATACTTGGAACTGATGGAAAGAGATTGCATGGAAGAAGTAAGGAAAAGAGACTGGATTGACGCTAGGAAGTAAGGGAAGGATAATGGAATTTATATGGGGTTAGATAGACTATAGTAAGCTGTGCATAAAATTTGGCATACAGAGTTAGGAAATTAAATATGTTTTACAAGGTGCTTACAAATATACATGTCAGGAAATAAGTTGGATAGGTAAAAATTAAAAGACTAATTCACTATTTTCTTACCCAAAAAAAAAAAAAGCTAATTGTGTTATGGATAGGTACAAATTTAAAGACTGATTCACCATTTACTTACCAAAAAAAACTAATTGTGTTATGACGAATCTTACAAAATATTGATGTTTTACATCTTTAAAAGGGACAAAAATATCTATTGAATTGGTTGAATGTATGTGATTTTTGCACGTGTTTTAAATTCGTTAAACATAAAAAAGGCCATATAAATTTGATTTCAATTTAAAATAAAAGAATGGTTAATAAGTATAGATAGAGCACAATAATTAATGAAATAGATGAGAGCAAATTAATCGTCTAAAAAGATTTCATGTTACCCATAAAAATAAATTAGCCTCACAAATTAGCTTGAAGTTCTGTCGAGATTCTTGAAAGTACATGATTCCAAATCAAGAGTCAACGGCACGGCAAGTCTATATGCATAAATACTTTTAAACTTAAACTATATATTTGCGGGATAGCTATTTACATCATATTTTACTTTAGAGTAAAGATAATGGTCCAAATCAGTAATCCCCTGTATTAGTTGGGGTGGACGATCCACCCCACCCATCCAGGTTTTGAAACATTAGCTTTTAGAGTAAAGCTAATGATCCAAATCAGCAATCCCTTGTATCCCTTGTATTAGTTGGGGTGGACGATCCACCCCACCCATCAGGGTTTTGAATCATTAGCTATTATTATTCGTGTCACCATGAAACTCATGATTTATTGCCACCATATTTATATATATATTAATATTATGATATTATATTATTTAATTATTATGATAATGATATTTTGATATAATGTAGTCTTATTACTTATTATTATTATTTGAAATATTTATTATTAAAATAGCAATTAATTAAGATTTTTTTAGGTAAATATTTATTATAAATAATAATATTACGAGGGAAATATATTTTTCTGGTCCTATATTACTTATAATTTAATAATTACTTTAAAGAATTATAGAAATCACGATGTATTTACTTTTCATTTTTAATGAGTGAAAGTATACCATTCACATAATATGGATAGGTGGAAGGGTGCACAAGCGTCCTTTCAATGGTTGAGATTTCACAAAGCCATATCTAATAGCTAAAAAATTTTCCATAGTTTCATTTATCATTTTTATCTATACTATATTTTTAAGTCAGGGGTGTACACATATCATGAAAATAAAAAGTGCCCTAATTATATAGAGATGGTAGGACACATTTTCATATTTGAAACATATTATGCACATATTTTGTCTCATATTTGAGAGATATTATGCATATATTTTGGGGGGATAGAAAGAGAGAGTATGCACCTATTTTAATATTAAAAAATAATACATATCACGAAGATAAAAAGGGCTCTAATTATATAGAGATGGTAAGACACATTCTCATATTTGAAACAAGTTATGCACATATTTTGTCTCATATTTGAAACATATTATGCCCATATTTTGTCTCATATTTGAAACATATTATGCACATATTTTGGGGGAGAGAAAGAAAGAGTATGCACCTATTTTAATATTAAAAAATAATATTTAAGGGAGAAAAAAAAGATGCTTATCATATTTAAAAGAAGAAAGAGAATATGTGTGTGTGGAGAGGGAATTAAGAGAGATTCACTGGGATAGATAGCTTTTCATTTTTAAGGAAAAAGAGAGAGCAAAACCCCAGGTGCCTAATCTCTATCTTTAAGGGAGATAGTCATGAAGAAGATATTACGATAAAGTACATGGGTAGAGAGAGAGAAAAATGTAAAGAAAATCAAGGAAATAAATAAACTTAAGGGAAAGAGAAGCATGTATGATAAGAAGAGAGAAGTACGTATGATAAGGAAATGACAAGGAGATGGAGAGATATTATTGAAGATTTGTCTAGGTGAACATCTAGTAGTTCTTTCTAATTTCAAATAAAGATGTCATGTTTTTTATCTTATGTATATCATTGAATATATTAAAATTCTCAGGAAAAATACAAGTTAGAGCCCGAAAAATACCTACGCAAAGAGCAAATTTAAGAAAAGTTTTTCAAAAATTTCCAATTGGGTCATTCAAGGGAATAAAATAATTTTCGTTTTTTGATAATATATTAAACTTAAGAGGCAAGTAGCTTTGCCTTTCATTATATTTGAAATGGAAGAATGAAATATTTGAATTGTGAAGCATGAATGGAGAGGAGAATGTAAGAATTCTAGAGAGAAAACATCTCCGGTCCCTCATATATGTAGAGTAGATTAACATAGGGTTTAACTATCGCTTTTAACATCCTTCATTAATATTTTTTATTTACTTCATTATTTTTTTATTTTATATTATTTGAGTATATTTTCTTATATATTTTCTATTTAACTTTTGTCTTTTATTTTATTTTTTGTCATTTTTTTTGTTCTCTATATATTATCTTTGTGTAGTTACTCTTGCTCGTTTTCATCA